GGGGGCAGCGAGAAAGGAAGCTAGACAGAAGGAGAGGGAACGGTAGAGAGAAAAAGTGAGAGAGAAGGGTCAGGGCCTTGTTGCCCTTGTAACAGAGAAAGAGGGGGTTTATTGCCCCCTACGCGAGACTATAGAGATGGAGGGGAGGCAACCCCGTTGGGTAACTGGCCAGTTAAATATAATTTGGTCATGATGAAGAAAGTCCGACCGGTTTATATAAAAACAGCCCAAATAGGAGTCTTATTCGGGGCACGAGGTAGGGGTCCAATTCCTTGCTATTGGATCATTAGACCCTGTGAACCGCCAAGAAACCGGTTCGCCCAGTGGCCAAGGTAACCAGGTCCGGTTCGACCCCGCCGGTTTCTTAAGCAGTGCCGCCGGTTCGAAAGTCAAAATATATTGTCCGGAAGAGATTCAAATGCATAATTAATGGGTCGAGGATTCCGCCGTTGTTTAGGACGCGTCCCCCCGGTTTCCCATCAGGCCTAAAGTGACTGAGTCACAAAGTTTTTCACCCGACCCACGTTGTTCTTTGTTTTTCCGTTCTTCCAGCGTTTATAACTCCCGAGCTCCATCACTGTTCGGAACTGCTTCACTGTAACAAAAGGTCGCAACAAATCTATCTCTCTGCAACGTTCCCTCAGATAACTACTAAAAGCAAGTAGAAAGGGAGAGAGAGTGTAGAATGAGGGGGAAGGGGAAGGGGTCTTGGGGCCTCAGTTCGAAGCTCGAATTTCCGACTGTCTTCCTCCTCTGCTCAGTCTTTTTCCTCGCTGGAATATTTGGAACTATGATCCTCTCTCGCGACATTCGTGATCAATCTCGTACGCGTAGACTTCAAGAAGCATTTGATGAATTTTCTGAGGACTTCACAACGATGCCTCATGGCGAGACGGGAGATTCATCTATTGATACCATCCCTTTTCAGGTTCTGATTTCTCCTCATTTACTATCACAGCTTAATTTGATGTTCTGCTATCTAATTTTTCTATGATCACTATGTGTTTGTGTGATGATTGGTCTTGTTTCTTGTTGTTTGCTCTGTGTATCGTGATCTTCTCTCGTCGATTGATCTAGTGCAAAGCATTCAACCTTACATTTTCACTGTCCAAATGGCACAATCGCTCTGAATTTTTTTTCTTTTTATGTTCTGCTAATTCGAGGTATATTGTGAACCTTCGATTCTCGGAAGTGAGTCTGCATTCACTCAAAAAACTTCTTTAAACTTCACCTCCATCAAATGAGTATTTGACTCATTTGTTCTTGGTCTTTTGCTTGGTGATTTTTCTATATCAGTAATTCTAGTGCGATGGTCAACTGATCTACTGTGATGCATTCTGCACTATATGCCCATTCTTTCATAGAACAAGTGTTCTGAATTATTTGCCATTGAACTTTTGCCAATTGACCATGCTGTCGATTTCTACGTGATTGACCAGGCTCCGAAACACTCTCAATGTGTTGAACAGCGGCTCTCACTAGAACTATGACTTTGGACTGTGCATTAGTTGGATGATGAGATCCACAGTTTTTTGTTTTTTTCGGAATACATCAAAATCTGAAGCAATAACTGTCTACCAAAAAAATAAAAGAAAATTCAAATGCTGAAAATCCTCCTAACATGGTTTTGTGTGTGGTAAATGCAGTAAAAATTGACCTCCCAGTCCATTGAAGTGTTTTCCTTCTTTTAATTATAATTTGAACCTGGATTTGCACTGGAGGAACTTCAATGTGCCCCACCCCAATTACACCCTTCTAAATGGCCCCTCTCTCAAATAACAGTTGAAATATCAAACTAGTTGTGGCGAGTTCCAAGGGTGACTTTTGAGGTGCCAAAAAAAGATGTAAAGAATATAAAAGAACGTCAAAAATAAAAAATATTTGGAAATATCTTTTTAGGGGATTTTGATGGTCTTTTAGATGATTTTGGTAACTTTTCTTATCACATGATCCAATTTTTTATTTTTCCTTTTCTCTTGATTTTTCTAAAATATTTATGGTATAGATCAAACTTTTAATAATCCATCTAATTAATATTGTTTCTTCTTTCTGTTTAATTTTTGTGGACTTTTAACTATTTTTAACAATTTTTTACTTTTTTATTTTTTATTTTTTAACATTTTTACATGTGTACATTACTCTGAACTTTCCCAAGGAGTCACCTAGGGCTGCAAGCTCCTAGACAGAGTGATTCTAAAAGCATTGATCAGAAGCAGTGCTGATATAGGGGGAAATATTGATGGAGATACAAAAAGATGAATGAGAAAACTGAAGTAATCCCACCAATCTAAATGGTTAGCTTCCAATGAGGAAGCTATATCCATGAAGGACCATAGAGTTTCTCATTCTGTAGAGAAGGGGTACAATCGATTGAATAAACCCCATATGTGCAAGTTCTCCAAGCTGAATGCTAGACAGCTGCAGGCAACAATAGGATCCATTAGCTCTATAGGATTGTTATTGGTGCATTGTGTTATATTGGTCTTTGGAAGACGCCTGAATCAATCTCTTTCTGGCTGCTAAACATCAAGGAGCTCTCTCACTGTGAAGCTTTACTTGCTTGTAACAGACCAGACCACCTAAATTTGTTGTTAACAAGAAACAGTCCTGTTACATGACTTGAGACCAACCTTTAATTGTAAGTAACAAAGTCTAGGATGTTAAATGGGAAGCCCCATGTCATACAAGTCATGATCTTGATAGGCCCATGATAAGGATATGGGTTAGAAACTTCACATGTCTTTAGGCACATGGCTTCAAGCTCCTAAGTTGGAAAATCAGATGGAATTTGGGGAAGAAGTAATGGTTTGCAAATTGATAACACTAGATGGACAAATTCATTGCCATATAATGAGAATGGGCCAGGTCTTGGTATGTGGTATTGAATTAATCATAGAACTAGATGTTGGAATGTTTCTAAAAGTAATAGGGCCCTTAGATACCAGTGGTAGTGGTTTGATTGTAGATATGAAAGGAAAATATTTGATAATCTGATTGATTGCTCATATGTTTTGTAAAACTTTAATATTGAGGAAGAGGAAGAATGAAGCTCATAAAATGAAGGGAATGGTGGCTGATGATAAAATCCAAAACCACCTACCTCTTATAAAATCTCATTGATATTCAACAAAACGCTGGCTAGTTGTCAATTACATTCTTGAAGCAATTTTTTCATCATATGAATGTCATTCTTTCATGTTTGAATGACTTGAATCTCTGGTTACACACATAGAAACAATTTTTAGAGAAGGATCATTAAGTTCTTCCCAAACTTCTTTTCCTTTGGAAAGGTCATGCACTTCTTCCAATGTTTGAGTTAATGTGTTGGAGAGGCCAAAGCATTGGATCTCTTTGGAAAGAAGAAGCATTGGAATTCTGATTATTATAGTGGAGTTTGGAATTCTGATTATTATAGTGGAGAGAGAGAGAGAGAGAGAGAGAGAGAGAGAGAGAGAGAGAGAGAGAGAGAGAGAGAGAGTAGTAGTATATACTTAATTAAGTAAAGTAAAGTAAGTACGTACTTACCTTACGTTACGTTACGTTTACTTATTATAGTTAGTTAGTTTATTTT